TCTCATACTGCATTCTCTTCCATTGATGTTATTCACACTCCTGTCTTCACTTACTGCCTACATTCCACTGACTTTCACACCTACTAGGACTGACATTTTTCCCTGAGCACCAGCCCCTAAGTTTGACCAGTTATACAGATAGATGCCATATCAGATACTCTTCTGATAGATTAGAGTTCATCTATATTCTAGATTCTACATCTAGAAGATTTAGAACAGGTAAATCTTCTCCCTGTCATGTATTGCTTCAAATCTCTGTTTTGGCACCCAGTCGCAAACACCAGAAACCTTAGGGCCTTTGTGGTTCTGCATCTGGATGTGCCTTTATATTTCACAAATCAGTTTTCACATCCCTTAGGTCATTTACTCCTCGCAATGACCCGAAGAGCATTATTTGATTACGTGATTTTGTAAGGCTTAATTTGAATGAGTATTTTTTCCCCCAGAATGACAACATAAATACGTTTTCCAATTCTTTTAAGAAAGAAGCAACTCCTTTCTACAGAGGAAGAAAATAAGTTTTATAGAGGTAACAAATTTTTCTAAGACGTTGTAAGGGTCAAATGAAATAGTACATGCTGTGAAACTTCATATACCTTAAAACATCATGTAAATGCAAAGTTTTCTTGATTATTAACATTATGCCAAATTATTGGTGACACAGCTAATTGGTAAATGTCATAAGAAGAGTATTAAGTGTATAGAAATACAGAGGTGAGGGAAATCAGTTTAGTTAGGGATGATAAGGATCTTGGAAGAAGAGTAGGATTTTAATAGATGGAGAGCGTGATGGAGGACCAGCTTCTCCATGTCTCATTCTGGTCTACCACCTTTACATCTGTCCTTAATACAAAGCTGACTCAAGTGATCCTTTCTTAGCACTTCTAGGTAATGGCTGGAGGTTTCCTCCAAATGCAGTAGACAAATGTGAGGCACCTTTTATAAGAACATTAGGACACTAACTCAAAGGTCACCTTCTTCCGAGGGAGTTAAAAACCATTCAAGCTGCCTGCAGCAGCTCATACTATACCACCCTCCATGTGGACAAGGAACACATGGGAACAAGGAACATAGGGAACAAGAGTGTGTGCAGGACAATGAACTGAAGAAGTTTCACTGACACATGGACATAGCCAAAGTAAGTGTTTCCAAATCATGAAATCAGAAGCAAAAACAATTCCTATAAAGGATAGTGTGATGACAGTTAGCTCAGGCTCAGGCCCTGGAGTGTGCTGTTTGGGAATCACCTTGCATACTGAAGCCTGTGTAATGTTGAAAGGGTCATATAGAAATCTGGGGGATATTTTGCGGTAAGTCCATTGATAGTAACAGAAAAGCTAGCTTTGAGGAGATAACTTTTATCCTATTAATGTTAGATTACTTTATTATTCATAAATTTGAGTTGAGATTTAGTTACATTGGAATAAAATGGGCTCTTGCAAACACTGAGTTACTGTAAACCAAGGCATTATCTAACATCAGGAAGAAGATACTTCAAACAACCTCTCCACTTTGCAGCAGCTATTACCCACATCTGAAAGATCATCCATTCTTCTAAAGTTTGGTCACTGCAAAGCCACCCCATTACTATCGCAATAATGTATATGTTATATACAGTTTCAATTCTGACTGTTGCACAGAGAAGCAAGACAGAGGAAATAATTCTCTATCAAAATCAAGTTGAAGAGTGTACAAGTTATATTTCAGTTTGATGACCTTTAAAATGACCTGATGCAAAGTCTAGCAGTTGCCAACCTGATTGGGCTTGAATAGGATGCATTCGGAGACTCAGTCCTTGCCTCCCCAGCTTCTCCAAGTGCTTGAGAAAAGGGCTAGATTTAGAAAGATGAAGAGCAAGAGGAAGAGCATGCAGGGGACATGATGGGAGCAGAGAATCGAAGGTCAGGATGTACATGATACACTAGGGAGATTGAGTGGATAGTTAAATTGGCTTAATGTCCATCAGCATGTAAAGAAATTAGGGAAGAAGAAGTTGTCCAGAAATTGATATCAAAATGACCAGCAAGCTTTTCCAAGCATCATTTTCTGCAAAGATAAAGTGATAAGGTAATAATGACAATGATAATATCATACCCAGTACTTACAAAAGCCATCTTTCAAGGGTCTCAGAGCCTGTTAAAATGCTGCATTATTCATCTTCTCAACAATTCTGTGAGGCAGGTAAAAGGAAGTATCATTATCTCCATTACGTAGGTAGTAAAACCAAGATAGAGGCAGTGAGAATCTTATTTCCACGTCCCTGTAGCGAGCCAGCTGGTGTTCTTGGTCTGAAGTGCAGTCACTCCATTTAGGCTACCTTTTCTAGGGCCAATTTTCCTTGTTAATGTGTAGAGAGGGTCCCAATTTCCATTCTATGTAACTCTATAGATGTTTATCTCTTCCAGCCCTTAAAAGTGACTGAATTTAAAGCCATATCTCCACTTTGTCCCTTGGTAAGGCAAACGGGTTGTATATTCTCTTTTGATATTGCAGGTATCACTCACTGATGCCTAAAATGCAATCTTTGTGTCTAAAGGTAACAGAGTTAAATGACATATAGTTTATCAAAGTGAATTTTTAGACTAATATAGGTTGATTCCATTAATCTATCAAAGTTTTTGCCTTTGAATTTCACCAGTCTCTCTCTTAGTGCTGTTTCTGCCTCATCCTCCAACCCCAACACCAATAAGGCATGACACATAATCACAGACACCAATGACCAAATCTAATGAAGGCAACAGAATGGTCCACAAGCCTTCTCAACTAAAGCTACTTCTGGCCTTTGGTTCTCCATAGCCCACTGTAACAGATTGGACCTCCTGCCCAAGTGCTTCTTGGAGACCATTTTACTTACTCTGAGGGCAAATGTGAGGGTTAACTAAAGTTTCTCCTATGTCCAGAGCTGGGTTGAATGGCAGCCCAAACTTTGACCCTTCAGGGTCAGCTGAGCTTACCAAGAGATTCCTGGTCATATTGTACCTCTTCATGCTTTGCAAGGCCAATCGATATTCCTTTCATTGATCGAATGAAGATTTCTATTGTGCCAGGCTCATTCATGTTAAGTCAACAAGACATATAGTGTCGTGATTGGCCATGGCTTGTACTTTGCTTCGTAGGTGTGCCTGAATCAAATTATCTGTGCCTAATACCAAGGGGCAACATATCATAACAGAAAGAGTGTGAACTTGAGTCCTGCAGACCTCAGTTTCCAATTCTGCTGGGCCTACTGGCTATGTAACCATGAACTCAGAACTCAATAAGTAAACTCTTTGAGACTCAGTCCACTGTTTTAGTCTTTCTCTGCAGTGCCTGGCAGAGTCTTAGACACAAGGTACATGCTCAATTAGTGCTTGTCACCTTGATTTGACTGAACCTGCCTATAGGACACAGCAGCAAGTTACAGCTTCTCCTTCCAAGCTATGTCTAGGTCAAAGCCATCAGTGAGAAAAACAGACTCTGGCCATAGGAATTGTTTCTGCAGTAGTTGAACACCAGTTGTTACTTATTTTTCTCTTCACGTTCTTACTAGACATAAAGCCCTCTCCTACCTGACAGAGCACTTTATGAAGTTGAATAAGCTTACAGCCTGCTATGACGTTGGAATGTAGGTCAAACTTCTCAGCAGAAACTCCTGAAGAATATATAAGAGCCCTGCTCCTCCCTTATGACACCTATAGTGGCTGGCATGGGAAGAAACATAAAATGGAAATAAACAGCCCATATCTGTAAAGCCTAAGGCGGAGAGAGATGGTCTCTATGAGACATGGGACAATCTGGTTATTTAGGTCAGGAGGGTAGTAGAGAAAGAGCAGCAGTGCAGGGCCCATCTTGGCCATTGCCAAGATGACAGCATGGTCCCTCCTTTCCTTGGTAGCCCTCTCAACACTTCCCTACATATATCCCAAGATCCAGACACAATGAACTACTTGACATTTCCTGAAAGTGCCTGTTTCTCCCTCCCCACCCCAGGCTTTTGTATGTGCTATTGTTCTGCCTTCTGAGAATGCTCTTCTCATGCCCGACTTTCTGCTACTCATCCTTCTGGGCTCAGGTTGGTATCAATTCCCTTCCTCTTGTAAGTCTTCTTCCTCATCAAAATTGCAGACTATGTTCTTATAGTACCTTCTCCCATCCTCATATGTCACATGCAATATTGTAATTGTTAATTCATGGGGCTGTCCCCAGGATGATGATGACAACAACAACATAGATGTCATCTACTGAGTGTTTACTATGTTCCAAGTACTATACTTTATGTCATTAATTCTCACATCAAGCTTGTGAAGTAGGATTATTATTTCCGTCATATAGATGTGGAAGATAAACTTTAGAGAGGATTTGCATATATTAACATAGTTAATAGGAGGCAGGATCAAGATTAGAACACAGATCTGTCTGACTTTAAGTCTGTTATTTTTCCCACTACATCATGAAGCCTTCCATTTGGCTGTGCACAGCTTGAGGGCAGGGACCACATCTTTCATTTCTGTAGCTCTAGCATCCAGCACCTAGTGCCTAGAATGCAGAAGCTTTTACTAGGTGCTCAACAATATGTTTGATGAATCAATGGATGAATGGCAATAAATGGCCATCTCAGCCAGATTTATCTTGGTCCTGATAATCTCAATGTATATTTCTTGGCTCTGGATATCCATTTGGGAGGATCAGTTAAGCCTGAAGTAAAAAGACAATTCAAGTGCAGCTGCAAGAGAATGTTCTGTAACTTGTTTATAAATATATGAGATATAATTTAACTGGGCTGACTTGTTGGAAGAGAGAGCTCTATAAAGCAGGTCAAGCATCCAGTGAAGAAATGGACACAGATAAATTATTTTTACTCCCCGGAACTCCCTCAAAGGGTTTAACAAAGTTTACTCTTCTGCTGAGGCAGAGCCTTAGACAAAGAGCTTGACCTTGTTTGCACAATAAACAAGTGGTCTCTAGCTAAGCCTCCCAGCTAGGCAGTTACTGTTTAGAAAACAGGTCTGGACTCAGAACTAGTTGGAAGCAGTTTCTCTGTTGGAGTGGGAGGAAAGAACAGGCTGCTTTTGATGGAAATGATATACCTGAGAAGAGGCTGTTAACCCACCCCTGGCCACAGGCTGATTAGAGGCAGTATCTGAACTAGAGTCTGGCAACTCCTCAGAATTCTCCGTGCCTACCAGGTAGTGGTTCTCATCTGTAGAGGACAGACTCCAAGGAACTAGTATCTTCTTTAAGCCTCCTTTCTGAGCAGTTACATAAGAGACTGTTTCTTCCTGTTCCTTGGGGAAAATTCTCCCTACGAAAAGAAATGCATTTGTTGATTTTTGTAGAATTTGGATTTCATATCTTAGCTGAAGTTCAGGCCTCCTTTTCAGTACTGACTTCCATTGAGATTAAGCACAAATGGGTCCTAACATAACTCATGAAAGAGCCAGTTTCCCCCTTGCAAAATAAAAGGTGATATGTCACCTAAAACTACCCAATTTTTCTCAGGTAGAAAATACATAATGTCAGAGCATGCCAATTACCATAGTGCTTGTCTTCTATCTCTAGGTGTCTCTATTGGTAGGCTATTTCCCTTGAATATCTGTGGATTTAGATGTTACATGTTTTCTAGTCAGAATTGGGCCTAAGTGTATTTGTGGCCATGGTCTTTGTTAAAGATTATACCTTTCTTAGTGTACTAATTAATCTAATGACCCCTGAGTTGGCCATTATATCTCTGTTGGCTTTTCTGTAATGAATTTGTGCTCTGGGACCAGAGGCAATGGCAAAACTCCAAGCTTGGAAGCTGCTTGGTAGTTGACTGGTGGATCTGTAAAGAGTAGATCTTTATAGAAGATGAGTAAAATCAGGCTAGATGTGGTGGCACATGTCTGTAATCCCAGCATTTTGGGAGGCCGAGGCAGGTGGATCACCTGAGGTCAGGAGTTCAAGACCAGCCTGGCCAGCATGGTGACGCCCTGTCTCTACTAAAAAATAATAATAATACAAAAATTAGCTGGGCATAGTGCTGGTGCCTACAGTCCCAGCAACTTGGGAGGCTGAGGCAGGAGAATCACTTGAACCCAGGGGTGGAGGTTGCATTGAGCTGAGATGGCACCACTGTAGTCCAGCCTGGGTGACAGAGTGAGACTCCATCTCAAAAAAAAAAAAAAAAAAAAAGAAGAAGAAGAAGATGATGATGACCAAAGCCATCTGTTTATTCACTCAATATTTATTAAATATGTAGTATGTACCAGGCAGAGTGCTATGGAGCTAAGAATATAGATACTTAAGACATTTATTTACCCTCAAGGGGAGTTATCATCTGCTGGAGAAGTTTATGGTTTTAACATGGGGATTTTCACTTTAAAAGTCATTTGGTTCATTTTGAATCAGAATACATCCAACCACTGAGGTTGCCTACTTAGAGGATCAAATTGTTGCTGTAAATCTTGGATACAAATATATTCCTCTTAATAAAATAAGTTCACCTAAAATTTTAGGAAAATGACAAGGCAATTTCTGAGGTGCCAAATGAATACATCAGGTAAGTAAGCAAGTCTACTTCCTAGAAAGATTGCCTCCTGACTAGTAGAGTGGAGGGCTTAGCGTCTTAGTGATTTATTCCTGAATTAAAACTAGATTTTATATATATATATATATGTACTTTACTTTTGTAAAAGGAAAACATTACTGTTACACACTGACACCACATAGAGTAATATTGTTCCATAATACTCATTACAATAGGGTGTTGTTACCTGTTACACTATGTGTGTAGAGTAACAGTGATTGGATGTAAGTCTGAAGACCTGACTGCCACTATCGGAATAATTTTGTAACCACTAGCAGAATAATCTTACAGAGCCCTCTTGACCTTTTTAAACTCTAGATTTCTTTGTTTATGAAATGTGGTTATATCTAATCTACCTGCCTCATTTGATAGTATAAAGGATCCAATGAGACCTGAAAATGTAGATACTGCATTTTCTCCATACCCAGTAATCAATCCTGCATATCCACTTCCAAAATCCCAGTTCACAGAGACCACGTTCAGAGAGAGGGAAGTGATGGGCAGGAGGCTGCACTGCTCTGGCCAATCGCTGTGAGGAAAGAGAAACAAGGGGTAAATTATGTGCTTTCATTGGCTAACCATCCCGCAGAGTCTGAGTCTCAGTGGATCATTAGCCTTTATTACAACAGAAGCAGGTTTTTATCAGAATCTTTGCAGCGTATTTCCCTGTTTCTGACTAGGTGTCTAACTCGTGAAAGATATTGGACTTCGAAGATGAAAAAGGCAGGGGCCAGGCGCAGTGGCTCATGCCTATAATCCCGGAACTTTGGGAGGCCAAGGCAGGCAGATAACCTGCGGTCAGGAGTTTGAGAGCAGCCTGGCCAACATGGCGAAACCCTGTCTCTACTAAAAATAAAAAATAAAAAAATAAATAGCCGGGCGTGGTGGCACACGCCTGTAGTCCCAGCTACTCGGGAGGCTGAGGGAGGAGAATCGCTTGAACCCAGGAGGCGGAGGTTGCAGTGGGCCAAGGAGTCACGCCACTGCACTCCAGAATGGGCAATAGAGCAAGACAACGTCTCAAAAAAAAAAAAAAAAAAGAAAAGAAAAGAAAAAAAAGAAAGAAAGAAAAAAAAAAAAGAAAAAGGCAAACCTGTTTTCAAGGAATATTGCACAAAGGAGATGACCCCTTAGTGGAAGTCAGGGAGGAATAGTTCACAAAACAGATAATGGAAAAATATAGATTTTTTTTTTTTTTTTTTTTTCTGAGACAAGGTCTTAATCTGTTGCCCAGTCTGGAGTGTAGTGGCACAATTACAGCTTACTGCAGCCTCGTCCTCCCAGGCTCAGGTGATCCTCTCACCTCAGCCCACCCTTCCCTCCCCTCACCCAACTGGGTACCTGGGACTACAGGTGCATGCCACCATGCCTGGCTAGCGTTTATATTTTGTGTAGATACAGGGTTTCCCATGTTACCCAGGCTGATCTTGAACTCCTGGACTCAAGTGATCCTCCTGCCCCAGCCTTGCAAAGTGCTGGGATTACAGGCATGAGCCACCACACTCAACCTATAGATCTTTATTAGTTAATTATATCAGAGTCAAGATTAATTCAAATCAAGATTAATCAAGATTAATTCAAAACATTAGAAGACATATTTGAACAAATACTGAAAAACTACTCTGATCACCTGATGAGATGCATCAGGCCTCATTTCTTACAGAGCTAAACAACAGATCTCCCAGAAAAATGGAGTTCCTTGTCTGATTTGGGGATGGCTTGGATCTCATCCTCACACTTTCTCAAATGTGAAGTTTCTCATGTTCAGATTTTAAGAATCCTTAAGGAGACAATAATCAAAGTTGCAATAAGACATGAAGAAGAAATAAAATTATAGAAAGAACTCTGGAAAATAGAAACAGCTGGACAACTTCAGGGGAATTTGTAATGAAAGAAGGATGGCAGATCATGATGTGGACTCAAGAAATTAGCTATGTACAGTATTCATTTTGCAGCAATTATGTTACTAATTACTATACTATACTATAAAAGTAGTCTAATGATTATAAAAAGCTAACATTTAGATGCATGTCAAATTGCTGATAAATGTTTTATCAAATTTAAATCTTCCTTTATAATGTCTAATTATAATTTGGCCCAAAACTAAGTGTGATAATATTGAATACTGAATGGATGAAGACTTGTCCTTGACCTTCTTCTATCGCCCCTTACAGTCCTTTACTCCACTGCATCTTTGGACACCACAAAAGACCTGACTTTCTTGGTGAGAACCCCGTGGTCCAAACCTCTCCCCACACAATACACTTCATTAGCACTTGGGTTCTGGATCCAACTACTCAATGGCCCTGCTCTCCACAGAGGAAAAGAGCCAATAAATTAACTGCATAAAATTCCCATTAAAGAAGAAAATAGAACTAGTCAAGAAACACAGAAGAATTTAGAGGGCTAAGAAGAGAATGAGAAAAGTCAAAGAAGGGGTGAGATTCAAAAAGGAGATGGTAATTTACTAGGCCAAATGCTGAAGAGTAATGTTGAACAACTGAGGAGTTAGGTTAATTAGAAATGTTGAGCTAAGAAGAATGAGAGGAGAAAAGACAGAGTGCAATACATAGAGAAAAAAGGCAGCTAGTAAAGAAATGGAGATGGGGTTATAATAATAATGATGATAATGACAGCTAATGTTTATTGGAGAGGTTTAGTTGTGTGTCCAGTATTCCACTGAACACTCGGCATGCAGGTATATTATTATCCCCGTCTTAAAGATGAGCAAATCACAACACAGACTGAATAGTAACCTACACAAGTTGATTTACAACATTACATTCCTGATAATCTGAAACTGACGAAGTTCAAATTCAAATTCAGGTTTGTGCAACAGTTTTGACTACTAGGTTATTGTGCCTCTCTTTCTTTTTAGAGATTTATTTAAGTCAGAGGAAAAAATAGTTTTATCTTTATCTTACGAGAAAAATGAAGCTAGGGTGACATTTTTAGATTAAGACAGGAAAGATAAAATAATACATGTGACCAGATGGGAAGACAGCAGTAGAGATGGAGGTTGAAGATACAAAAAGACAAGTTCTAATTGATGAGAACTTGGAAATTATGGGACAAAATTTCCCACGGAACCAAAAAGGGAAAGATTACAAACACAGTTGGGTAAGTTAACTTGAGACATAAGAAAAGGAAGAAAATAATCACTGGGCTTGATGAGTAGGAAATAATGTTGTTTGAAATAGCTTTATAACTTAGATTTCACAGAGGAAGTCAGTTGTTAACAAATATCCAGTTATTCCTTTTATGAGTTATGCATCCTGTCAAGTAAAGTCAACAAAAGCATTGCTTGTCATTTCTAATTATTTTCTAGAAACTGATTAAATAATAAAAAACAATTTATCTGTCACTACTCTATTATGTGAAATATTATGTTGCTCCTTTCATCTGAGAAATTATATGCTTCTGTCATCTCTGAATAGTTAGGGCATGTAAATTGGAACTCGTTTGATTCCAAAGGTCAGAAGCTCAACTTGAACTAGCTTAGGCAAAAAAGGATTGCCTTGTCTCACAAAGTCAAACCCCAGAAAGCACAGGGAATGTCCAGTCTCAAGAAAACTGGTGATGGTGTGAAACAAATAATAAAAATCCACTACCTAAGTGTAGTCGCTTCTTTCACAGATGCGAAAATTGAAACACAAAGGCATTAGAAAATTGACTCCGATCTTTGTGAGTTAGAAGCGATAGTAGATATAGATCCTTTTACCAATGTCCATGTTAAGTTATTCTAACTATTGTGTTAAAAACTGGAGTTAGCTTTGGTTTTAATTAGTTATCCGGTTTTATTTTTCATAAACAAATAGCAGTATGTGATTAGGTGTTCACATTTCTGGGTACAGTCTTAAGAGTATGTCTGGGTATTTCTAGGTACATCCTCAGGAGTACTTCTGGTTATTTCTGGATATATCCTCAAGAGTCACCTTCCCTCTACTTCCCATAAAGTACTAGGAAAATACTCATAATAAATTTATCTTGGCCAGCAAGACTCTTCTTGCTACAGGCCTGTCTTCATCTGGATTAGCCATGGTGATCTCAGTGAGAACCCCGCCTACAGAGTCACAATGAGTGAGCTGAGGAATAGGAAACTTCAGCTCCACCTCATCTGCTGACACAAGCTTTTGTGCTATCATTTCATCTTTCATGGCTGATTTAAGGGAGGACTTGCTTCCTCTCCAGCCCTGAGGAAGAATATAGACATTTAGACATTCTAAAACATAGACATCATATGTTTAAGTTATGTCCCTCAACTTTAAATATTCTAAAGGTATTGTCATAGTTCACACAGCTTAAGGATATTTTTCTCCTCGTTAATGAAAGGAGTTTGCAAAAGTAATTAGTGAATAGTTAGAAGTAAAGCAGAATGTAAGGACACTATCATTATAAGTAGAATTTTGGAAATACGTGTACAAGGAAGGAAGGAAATATAGACTTAAAGAATTATATTTATGTCTAATTTATTGTGTGCAGATCTTAGCCAGGGATACAGAAAAGATTAGATTCATTACTGAGAAAAAGTCATACAAGGGAACTTTACTATTGATCTCCAGATTAATAGAACACAACACACCAAACATATTCTTCAACCACCTGAATTGCTTTAAGGACTAAAAATAGTCCTAATGGATGTTTTTCAAGCATTTCGTGTTCTCTTCTACTCCATTGATTCAGATTCACGTTCAACTGATTCTGAACATTTAGTGAACATCCAGATTCAATATTTACTAAATGACTACTTGGTACTGGGCACTTTGCTAGATACTGCCGTTACCTCATTCGATTCTCACTTCAACTCCAGAGGAGTCTCATTATTCTCAGTTTGAAACTGCCATTGCAAAATTATAACTGAGACAGTGAAAGAGATCTGAACTTATCAATTTCATCTTGCTTCTAACCTCCAAGCTGTCCTTGTTCATTCCTGGGTGTACGCTGAACTAATTTTGGGAGAAACTTATTTTATAGTTTGAGACAAAGATGATAACAGCCCTTTCTCAAAACAAACCCCCTTCTTGCCTGGGGACCAGAGTGCCTTTGCAGGGATAACAAGTTAGTCAAAAGATTAGAAATTATGGTTTAGGAGTCATGCAGCGGGAGACTACAAGATTCTGACCCTTCCCAAATTTCTCCTGGGGATAAAAATCACTATTGTAAAGCCTGAAACCAATGCTGGAGATATTTTGCCGACCCTGCACTTGATGGATAAACTGGCTCCATCAAGTGCACCACCCAGATGGATAAACTGTCTCATCTGATTGGGGAGCCCACTGGCTTCCCCCCACCCACCAAGCTGTCCTTAACAACTCAGATCCCTGAATGCTCAGGGAGACTGATCTGAGTAATAGTAAAACTCTGGTTTCCTGCACATTTGGCTCTGTGTGAATTACTCTTTCTCTATTGCAATTCCCGTCATGAAAAATTAGCTCTGTCTAGGCAGCAGGCAAGGTGAACACATTGGGTGATTACAATTTTACAGAGTCTTAGAGAAATTAAGAATCTAACCTAAGGTCACATAAGTGGTGAATGGGATTCTGGAGTTCTGGCATTCTAGTTCAGGTTTTTTCTGATACCATACTTTGTGTCTCTTCCACTGACTGCACTGTCTTCATTTTATCGGAGTCAAATGAGCAGCAGTGACATTCAGATACTAAAGAGCAGTGGGAGAAAAATACTCTTTCTTTGTTAATTTTAGTTTTATGAACAAACATTAAGTAGTCTGCATAGAAACAATAGATAATAAAGTCACCTATAATTTCAGTAGTCATTAGGCATGACATAAAACCGTCTGTTCTTTCCCATGTCAATGCATGTGTGTGTATGTGATTTTTGTAGTGTAAGCAAGTTTTCTGTGTTGCAGAAAGGTGTGAAGGCTGAAACACAGCAGGTTTGAATTGCAGAGTGTATAAGTGTGGGCTATCTCCCTTCCCCCAGAATTTTATTTACTCATCAAAAGCCCTAGCTAGCATGAGTTTGAAGACAGCTGTGTCTTTGAAGAAGCTCCAACATACACTGACAATATCAGAGCATCATGTAGCCATATGGATCCTAAAGATAAGTGTTCTTTCTACACAGCCTGTCCTAATCAATATGCTATTTGCCAAATCCACATGAAACGTCCTTTGGCAAATACAAAATTATTTTAGGGAAACGTTGGATGGACACATGTTGGTATTTTTAACTTTAAAATAGAAGTATCAAGTGAAGTATTAAACAGGAAAAATCAACTATCCTTAAACACATCTCCCTAATAATAAAGGTAATTTCATTTTTTGTGTATTCTCTTCCTGGGAACATCGCTGTTGTTAGAGTGCATCACTTTGACTCACATGGTCTCTTCTTATAAATGACACTTTGTGAGAGTTGCAGTGGCTGATCTTATGGTTTATTTTGTCAGACTGTGACCCTTGGCAGTACAATTGCACAGTGTTTGTCCTTTTATGCAATCCCTGATAGTGCTTGGATGTTCAAACAAATATGCTAATAATAATGCAAACATGCTAAGGAGGAACTATTTCTCTCTATCCCCGGCTTTCACCAGTCATTTCTGGTGCAAAAGGAAGAACCCAGGGACTGCTTCCTGATTACGTATTTGCAGTGTCTTAAGCAACTGCAACAGGAAGGCATGAGACTAGGCCCTATTTCCTATAATATGTTATGTTTATCGCTCCATTGCTCCTATCATAATCCAGCTTTTAGCTTTTTACATTTTTAAATCCCTCTTTTTTAAGAAAAAAGAAAAAATGCCGGATGCGGTGGCTGACGCCTGTAATCCCAGCATTTTGAGAAGCTGAGGCGGGTAGGTCACGAAATCAGGAGTTGGAGACCAGCCTGACCAACATAGTGAAATCCCATCTCTACTAAAAATATAAAAATTAGCTGGGCGTGGTGGCATATGCCTGTAATCCCAGCTACTCAGGAGGCTGAGGCAGGATAATAGCTTGAACCCGGAAGGCGGAGGTTGCAGTGAGCCGAGATCATGCTCACTCCAGCCTGGGTGACAGAGCAAGATTCCGTCTAAATAAAATAAAATGTCACATCAAAAACTATATATCTACTGCTGCCTGCAAAAACAATGAAAAACAAAAAAGACATAGTAGTATCTCTTCCACTGTTCATTAGGCTTCCTTCTACTATAGACCAATCTTTCGAAGATTGTTTTTCTCAGAATATGCAGGGAAACAGAGTAATGGCTTCATGAGGGTCTCCATGATAAATACAAAGCTAGAGGGCTTGCCATGTTCTTTATTCACTCCCTCTTCTCCTTGCCCCAGCTCCCTCCATTACTCCTCTTTTTGTCTCTCCCTATTCATTGGTCATATTCTTCCTCCTTCCCTCTCTCCCTATATCAATTTATCTGGACAGGTTTTTAATGTTGTAAGGATATTAAAGAAATAATACCTACATGTTCTGATGACCTCAGAAGGTTCTTTTGAGTTTTCTGGTTCTATGGTGACCAATTTTTCTCATTCAGTAGGCAAATTAGTTCTCCAGCACAGTAATTATCCGTTGGGCTTCAGGAGGTGAGAGATTCAGTCAGTGATTTTTTTTTCCAAGATTAAGGTTGAGAATATGTAGTGGCTTCTTGCTGGAAGGAAATATAAACAACTTGGACAATTCCATCCTTGGACAAATAAAAGAGCAGCACACATGCATATGTGTGCATGTGTATGTCTGTGTGTGTGTGTGTGTGTGTGTGTGTGTGTCAGAAGGGATGGTGGTGGTGGGTGATCTTAACAGGGCATTTAAGGTCTTCTGTAATCTTTCCCAAACTACCTTTTCACTTTTTTTCACTTTTGCCTCCTATAACTCCCTGATATATATATGTATATATATATGTGTGTGTATATATACACATATATGGGGCCTATATATACACATGTCTATATGTATATACACACATGTGTATGTGTGTATATACACACATGTGTATGTGTATATATGGGGCCTATATATGTGTATATATATGGGGCCTATATACATATATGTGTATATATATGTGTATGTATGTACATATGTATATATGTGTGTGTATATATATACACATACACACACACACATACACACATAGCCTTGTCTCAAGGTAAATTGAACATCCTTCTTTTCCTCTAGTAAATGGGACATTGTTTACATGTCTTGGTTTGTATTCCCTTCCCACTGCCTGGAAAGTGCCACCCCATCCCTTAAACTTAATAGGCATACACACATGCCTCCTCTGCCAGTGAAAATGGATCTATGTTTTGAGGCCCAGTCCTAGGTGCATCTCTCCCTTTAGCTTCCTTGAGCAGCTCAGCTTACTCCATCCCGCTCTTTCTCCTCTGAACACCTGTTACGCTTATCCTGTGTCAGGTGAGAGTTAATCTCCATAATGAAAACAAACTGGCTCTGAAACCAAATGTGATGCTCTCGACAAAACTCACCAGACTTTGAAAAAGTGTGTGATGTGTTTGCACACATGCGCGTGTGTGTGTCTTGGTGAAGAAGCTGAAGGCAAGCAGATACATGGCTGAGAGAGTCTGGAGAAGAGGTGATGAATACAGAGAGAATAGATAGAGAAAAGTGATGAAAAGAAAATGTCACCTTCCAGTATTGATCATGTATCTTACAGAAACCCGTTTTCACTAGTCTTCTCACATGCTAGATATCCCTCACTCTACTTCGGCTTTCATCCTACAGTTGTTAGTCTTATAAATGCCAGAAATGCACCAAGACCTCTCCAACTCTAATTTCGTATTTTTAAACTATCTTCTTAATTTGGAGAGACCACTCACTACACACATAAACAGGCACATACAGGTTCTACACTCAAAATACCAACATGTTCAGGAAATTGCGTTTAACTTAATAAATGCTGCTACTTTGGGCTCCAGCCGTATCCTCTTGACCAAAACAAAAAACTGAATAGCTTATGTTGTTCTCCCTTCGACTTTCCAGGCTTTTCCTGAAAGTCCTAGCTTCTTCATATTAGAACAGTTCCAGACAGTTCCTGTGTCATCCTGCAGTCTGCACATACACTGAAGACTTCAACACAACAAACAAACCCCAAGTTCTTTATTTCTTTTTTTACCTTCGTTTTCTAATACTTTATATATATATCCCTAGACTGTAGTAATTATATACTCTGTAAGCAACAGGAATGTGAAAAAGCCATTGAGGACCCAATTTTGCTTCTATAACAAAGACATGTTTGTGATTAGATAATGGAAAAATTGTAGACCTTACAATACTTTTTCCAGATGAAATCCTAAAGGTATTCATGTTATATATTCATATTTATATATATTCATGTCCACACATGTCAAATTTATGATTATTGATAACTAGTGGTTTTCAGATTAAAGAACTTTGAAATTAACATTGAAAGTATAACATTATATTAAAAATTACAGATAATACTTTTAATAAAATGATAAAACCTTCCTTCCCTTTTTTTCTTTCCTTTCCAATTTTCCTTTTCTTCAACAAATATTTAGTATCTGCTACACAGGTGTTTGATGCTGTAGGGCCTGATGAACCACAGCGTTTTAGGCCCAGAGCTATTTTAGATGTCAGAGACAGACCCCCTGCTTCAGAATACCATGTATTTGTTTCAAGTTACTTTCCCACTAGAGAAAGAAACATTCCACCTTCATTATTGAAATGGCTTAGCTTATAGCCTGGGGCTGGCTTATTTATTTTATTAATGTTCTGACTAAGACCAGAAAGCTCTGCTAAGAGAATCTCTGCCTCAATGAGGTTTTCACTCTAGGTTATATATTGTGAATACAGATATAAATCCATTACTTGGGTGTAAATGGATAAAACAGAGTCAACAGAGTGAGCTTGGAAAAAGAGCAGAGAAAGGAGAAATGTGAGTTCATTAAGGGAGGGAGGATTGGTGGAAAGAGCTTCTGTATACTCTCCCTTTGCCATGTGGAATCTTGAGTGATAGCAGTTGGATCTTGATAGATGGAAGACAGAATGATCTCTAAGCAATAACATAATGAAAAAGTTGTGCCGACATAATTATCATTTACTTTCAGCCTCATCAATACTTCACAATTTAATTTGTTTCAACTCAATAAACATGTATTTTAAATGTATTATAGACCTCTTTTGGGTCTGTGAGAAACAGGTAAAAAAAATGAGAAACTGGCTTCAGAGAGTTTACTTGATGGGCGAGGGAGTCACAGCAGACTAATTACATAGATATCATTATTGTTTGAAATATCAGATGTTATCATTCCCAGAATAATATATACAACATGTCTTACTGTTTCACCCTAAAATGGAAATGCGAGCTGGCAGTTAATGAGTGGTGATACAACTAGAACACTGAATGAAATTAGAATAGAAATAATGTTTACCTACTTTTTCTTCAATCACATTTTGAGTACAGTACATTGGAAATGTTTTATTTCCTTTTGTAAAAATAATGGCTCTAGGAGCCGGGGAAAGAATGTTCTAGAGCAGTTTCCAAACTTATCTGACAGTAAAAGCTACCTACTAAGTACAGATTTCAGGGTACTTCTGGAGATGCTGTTTCTGAGGTTCTAGGGTAAGCTGAAGAAACTATACTTTTACAGGAGATTCTATCTTAAGGAAAATTGGGGAAATTGCTATTTAGGAGAAATTACAACTGACCAAAGAAGAATGAAAACACAAATAACTATTTGCATGAGTAAAAAAAAAAAAAAGAAAAAAAAACACCTCCTAGACGCCTTATGTACATTATACAAATTGTACCTACATTGGCAACATTGCAGATAAATACAATATAAAAATAATTCAAAATATTCTGTCCATTTATCAAGATATTTCCAGCAAATGTAAGTCTCTGATTGAAAAGCAGATAGAGTTCATTGCAATTATGCAAATATATGCATCATATTACAATTTTAAGCTGATAAGTAAGCTCTGGAAAAAATAAAAGTGAAAACATTCGGCCAAGCAGGTGGCTTATGCCTGTAATTCCAGAACTTTGGGGAGCCGAGGTGAGCAGATCACTTGAGCCCAGGAGTTCGAGATGAGTCTTGGCAACATAGTGAGAGCCTCATCTCTACAAAAAAAAATTTCAAAAATTAGCTGGGCATGGTGGTTTGCACCTGTAGTCCCAGCTACTTGGGAGGCTAAGGTGGGAGGATCAATCGAGCCGAGGAGATGGAGGCTGCAGTGAGCCGTGATCATGCCACTGAACTCCAACCTGTGCAACAGAGCGAGACCCTGTCTCTAAAAAACAAAATACATACAATGCTTAAAAGTAACCAAAATTATTTTAAACTTAATCCAGGATTCTAAATTCTACTTAGAGTTATCAAAAATCTTTTTTTAAAGCTCATTTCTATTCTTTAATAATAAGCATTTTCTTTTTCTTTTAAACATCTTGGAGATTTTCTTTTCAGTTTTGGAGGATGGGACTAGAACTACTGATAGTCCTAATAAAGGCCAAATGTTTCTGAAAACTCAGATTTTAATGTTCTAGCTCAAACGTAATATAATGAGGATTGTATTGTTTACTTGTAGTTTTTTTTTTTTTTTTTCTAGTTTTGGTTTTAAAGAATACACATAAAGGCTCAAATTCTGTGTTTAGAAGGTGCTCCAGAAATTTAAATTTCCCACTTCTTGAATCATTGTCATCATCACCATCACTATATTCTCATAGTTAGGCTTTGTTAAGTGCCTCCTTTGTGCCAGGGATAATGCAAAGTCTGTGGGTGATGTGGAGATGTTTCCATTCTCCCAGGGAAGGATATACTAACTAGAGTGTAAGTTACAATGTAATAATCCATACTATGGAAGTTCACAGAGTGGAGGGATTGTAATGGAGGGCACTGCAAGAGGGAAAGACCCTTTGGAGAAAGTGGCTTCTGAGCTGCCCTTCAAAAACTTTAAATAAAAATGCTTTATTCTCAACAGTTACTAACCTTCCCTAGAAGCATCGCTGTTACTCTTCATTAATTATTTGGTGATGTGGAATGATTAATGTTTTATGCTGTCTTATGGAACAGATTTTCCCAAGGTTCAATTAAATTGTTTGACTCATTTAAGTGTAACTAAATGAAAGTTGTGTAACTGAAAGAAACTGCAAAGACTCCTCAATATCCATTTACCTTGAATATCATTTCATGCAGATCCATTTACAGACTGACACACTCTAATATCACATCACCTCCCTGTGCAAAATGAAGAGAAGAAATTATTTGATCCATATAATGATCTTTACAATTCAGGCCTCAAACCAGGATAATGTCCGAATAACTGTGGTAAAGTAAGTTTTCCTTAATTATCTAGCTAAATGCTTAACTTTATAGAATCAATAGATCGTTATAAAATACACACATAAATAACAGAGAAAAGAAGAAAATGTAAGGCAAGGAAAAGAATTTATTTTGTACATTAAATAGGTACTACAGGGAGCATTCTAGTATACTTTTATATTCTAAAATAGAAAAATAATCCATAGGAAAATATTCATCCTTTGCTTCACGTCTCTATTTCTTTTTCAAAAAGTCAAATATTATTTTCTTGCATTCTCTTTAGATTTTGAAGTCTAGCGACTGAACGGAAGAATTGCAAAATCTATACATTATAATAAATAATTTTCTTTGCTCCATATATTCACTAATAGAGGTATAGATGAAGGCAATAGAAAAAAGTATAAAAAATACAGACTCATTTGACCACAAATCACAAACATCATGATAACCATAGCATCTTAAATTTTAAAAAATTCAGTTATATGCATACACAAGAATCATATAATTCTAAAAAGATTTGTTATGAAAAATAGCAGTTCTCTATCACCTCCTTCTATTTATCCCTGTTTGAAAAGCAACTGCTCTCACCTCTTACTAGCCAACTATTTTGATATTTACCTCCATGTCCTAAATAATGTGTTGTTATTCTGTTGTTGCGGTTTTTAATTTTAGGCATTATTGACATTCTGCTATGGAAGTTGAGATTTTGCTTTTTTTCCTTTTCTCTGACCAATAACCCCAACCAGAGACTTACAATCTTTCCTATCTCCTCATCTTCCTGATTATGATTTTACATAATGATTTTGATTAATTTTCAGTGTATATTATTATGACTATTACGTAAATACCATTCACAGATGAACTTTTCCTGCATAGCTCTGTTTTCTAAATTGTTTTTGTTTTTTCTTAGTTTTCTAAGTGCTTGCTACTAAGGTCTGAATGTTTGTCTTCCCCCAAATTTGTATGTTAAAATTTTACCCTTCAAGGTGGTAGTATTTGGGGGTGGAGTCTTTGGGAGGTGATTACATCATGAGCTCAAATCCCTCACAAGTGGGGTTAGTATCCTTATAAAAAAGACCCAAGCCCAAGAGAGACTTTTCATCCCTTCCAGCCTATAACAACACAGCAAGAAAGTCCTGTCTATGCATGAGAAAGTGGGCTCTCACACACTAGTGAGATATTAGACTGGCGCCTTCATCTTAGACCTCCCAGCCTCCAGAACTGTAAGAAATAAATATCTGTTGTTTATAATCTACCCAGTTTACGGTATTTTATTATAGCAACCTAAACAGACTGAGACAGTATTTCTCATGAATTCTAGTAACTTTCCACAATTCTGTACATTAGCCCTCAAGATGCTCAGATGCAGTAGGTATTCTATTGATGTGATTTTCCTGAAGAGGTCTCTCCCAGTGTCTCCCACTGCTGCAATCAGGCTGCTTCCTATGCCTGACATTCAGTTATTATGCTGGGTTCTTCCTTCACTATCACCCTAGGGATTCTCATCACCTCTTTTCTCTGTATTGGATTGCCTGTTTCCTGTAACACATGTCTTCCTCTTTTTTGGATTCTTCCCTTGCTTTGGTAGAGCAAGATCTCTTTTCATGAGAAATGGCCCACAGTAGGTAAATTTCTTGAGGTCCTGCTTGTCTCATAATGTCTTTATTGCCCCTGACGATTGATAGTTTAGTTGAGCATAGAATTCTTGGTTGGAAATAATCTTCCTCCAGTGTTTGAAAGACATTATTACTCCACTATCTTCCAACTTCCTGTGTAAATGAGAGGTCTGAAATGGTTCTGATTCCTGGTTCTTTGTGTGTGTGTGATCTATCTTTTTCTCTTAATTCTAAAACTTCTATGATCTCTTTGTCTCCAGTGTTTCCAAAATATCACAATGATGTGCCTTAATGTCAACTGAGGCACAGTCCCACTGTGCTAGGCATTTAGACTAGGATGTCTAAGTTTCAGTTTGGAAACTTAGATTTTTCAAATCTAGGAAAACGTCTTCAAAAATATTTATTTTCTCACCTCTGTTTTCTCTCTTTTCTATCTAGTATAGGTATACTAGACCTCCTGGATTAGTCTTTTGTCTTTTTGGCCACTTTCTGATAATTTATTTGACTTTATTTTCTAATTCTTCTATTGAATTTTTTCTTTCTTCTTTCATAGCTTTGCTTTACAAGACCTTTTTCGATGATTGTTGCTGTTCTTGACAGTTCCATTTCTTATAGTACCGTGCTCCTATTGTAGGGTGGCAGTATCTGGCAATGTTAGATTTTTTTTTTTTAAGTTTCTCTCTCAATGGATAGTTTTTATTATTCTCCATATTGTTTTTTGTTTTGTTTTGTTTTCCTGTTTATGAATATTCATCTCCATCTGTCATGTAAGAGCATTTTCTCATGCCCGGTAATCATTAGTTACGTGCTCCTTTTTAAGAGTGGAGCACTAAAATGCTGACTGGATACTCTGAGTGCATGGTTAGGGCTTGACTATGATCTTCCCTGTAGGGTGAACTGGTTGGGAAAAGTCAGATATCAGTCATCTTTTATTTATGTCCTCTTGGAATGATCAGATTTCTCAGAGAAGATTCTTCCAATCCTCTCCCTAGAGAGAGAGAGACACTGGCTGCTGACGCAGAAAGACACCTGAGGTCTCAGCTTCAAATGTGTCCTCACTCATTTCTTCCCGCAAAATTGCTATTATAAAAACTTCAAACATACAGAAGAGTTGAAACAATAGCACAACAACTACCCCTGTATCCTCCATCTATATTCAACAATTGTTAAGAGTTTGCCATAGCTGTTCTCTTTCTCTCTAAACCTTTGAAGCTAGAGTGTCATCATGGACTTCACTCTTAAAATATTTCAGCATATATCTCCTCAAAAATAAGAACATTTCCTATATAACCACATGTAGTATTGTCATATCTAATAAAAAATAACAATAACTTTTATCACTTAATGCCTAGTTCTTACTCAAATCTCTAGTTGTCGCAAAAATGCACTTACTTTTCTGTGTGGTACCACTGCTGTAAACTATGCTCGGCATTCCCAATTCCAGACTTTATCTTTTTCTCCCCTGATAATAAATCTATAGTCTTTTGCTGGGGCTGGGGTAGGGACAGTCATTTAGCCATGTAGAGTTGGGGAGGGTATCTGATAGTTCTTAATTTGCAATCACCTCCTACCACCACAAGCACCAAACACACATACTTTTATTTATTATTTATTATTTATTATATTATTATTATTATTGAGGCAGGGTCTTGCTCTGTTGCTGAGGCTGGAGTGCAGTGGTGTGATCTCAGCTCATTGTGACCTCTGTCTCTTGGGCTCCAGCGATTGTCATGCCTCAGCCCCTGAGTAGCTGGGTCTACAGGTGTGTGCCACCACACCTGGCTATTTTTTGTATTTTTAGTAGAGATGGGGTTTTGCCATGTTGGCCAGGCTGGTCTCGAACTCTTGACCTCAAGTGATCCACCCAGTTCGGCCTCCCAAAGTGCTAGGATTACACGTGTGAGCCACTGTGCCGGGCCCCAAACACATATACCTTTAATCTCACTGCCAGCTGGACTTGGTGCTGCTATTTCCTGAATGAGCTTTTTGGGGATTCTGTATGACACACTGAATTAATTTTGCCATCTCTCATTGCTAAATTAAGGTTCAGTTTTCTCATGTCTGTTGTGTTGAGGTTGACCATAGTATTTATTGTTCAAACCAAAACATATTTGAAGGTACCGGGGCTCAGGAAATGATACCCTAAAGTATGAAGCCTTGGCATGCTGAGCACTTTGAACCAAAGGAGATTGGAAGGACTCAGAAGCAAAGTCTCTCTGTGCTCTCCTGTCTCTTGCCTCTCCTTCCCTGAGGCAGGTCACGAAAACTAGAGCTCCTCTTCCCCAAAGCTAGTCATAAAACCCAGAAATACTACTCTAATCTTCTCCTGCTTTTTTGTGTAGCAGCTAGCCATAAAGAAGTTATCTGACCTACCAAGTCTGATAGTAGATTGTAGGTCTACCATGTCTGATTGTAGATTATAAGACTATCATTCTAAAAGAGGTCATGCCCTATATCCAGAAGGAAGAAATGCTACACAGAGAGGCCAAGAAGAATCTGAACAGACAGTCCTTGTTGGGGTTTTCCCTCTCAGCCTATTATCATTAGACATGATCATACCATTAGACAATATCTATTATCATTGTCATACCCTTTTTGTCCAGTTACATTTCTATATGGCTGTCCATTCTTCATTTAATCTAATCATAAAAATGGACAGTTTTACCTAGGTCTTTGTGTGTTCATTTCTGAAGTTTCCTGTGTCAAGTAAAACTTTTTGATCAAGTAAATGTGTTATGCTTCTCCTTTGTTAACCAGTCTTTTGTTATAGGAGTGTCAGCTGTGACTCTTATGATGGGTAAAAATATCACATCTTTTCCACTCCTACAAAAGTAAAAGTTGGTACTATTATAAATTATGTCAGGATTATTAAAGGTGATAAACTAGGCTTGTCAGATCAGCATATCATCATGTTAGGAAGCGTTTCTTACTTATCTGCTTTCTAGCTTCAAGGGTTTTTTCTTATGACCCTCTCGCCTGATCTCCCATCCTTGCAGCCTAGGTATTAACAAACAAACAAACAGACTCTTTTCTGTTGTTTTATGGGGTTTTGTGAGTAAAAGTAATTGTATGTGTGCAATGAATATATTATCTTTACCCCAATTTAATTATCTTGAACTTTGATCACTTTGTATTTGTACCACATTTTGTTATTTTAATGTTCTTGAACACCTTGTTTCATAGAAAATAATATCTCTAATGCTTGTTAAAAAAATCCCCATAGTACCTATAGTGAAGTATTTTATGTGTTTAAAAAATACCTGTTTATTTTATTTGATTAGAGCTCACTTTCACTATTTCAAACACAGAATACCAAATAAGTGTCAAGTAAATTAAAATTAGAAGGCATATAAGGGTTTTAAAATAGTTTTAAATTGGATTCTAGTGCTTACTGTTCCCTATACCTGAAATACCTTCTCTTCATATCTCTGTGAATATCATACTCATTTTTAAAGAACCACATCAAATCTGCCTCTTTTAAATCTTTGATAATTTCCTCACAAAAATAATAATTTCCTTTTCCTCTAAAATCTTGTGACACTCGCAATTCACATTATTTGAGGCATTTATTCCATGCATCTTATGTATTTCATTTCCCCTAGTGCAGTGGCTTTCACATTATTTTGACTGCAACTCACTTTAAGACATCTATTTGGCAGGGCTCAGCGGCTCACTCCTGCAATCCCAGCACTTTGGGAGGTGGAGGCTGGCAGATCACTTGAGGTCAGGAGTTTAAGACCAGCCTGGCCAACATGGCAAAACCCCATCTCTACTAAAAATACAAAAATTAGCCAGGTATGGTGATGTGCACCTGTAATCCCAGCTACTCTGGAGGCTGAGGCAGGAGAATCACTTGAACCTGAGGGGCAGAGGTTGCAGTGAGCCGAGATCGTGCCGCTGCGTTCCATCCAGCCTGCATGACAGAGCAAGAATCTGTCTCAAAACAAAACAAAAAAACAAACAAAACAAAAAACAAACAAAAAAACGCAGACATATATTTTATATTGCAACCTAGGATGTATATATGTATATAACTGTACACACACACGTATGCACACATCACATATATTACTGAAATAAGAGTGCCCCACAAAAATACTTCCTCTTGCTGAGACACACTCTGATATTTTCTAAATTACTGTATTTTATTTTTAAAAAAGTGCTGCTGGATTCCCTCAAGATTTCTTGACTCTCTAATGAATTGTGACCCCACAGTTTAAAAAACATTGCTCTTTTGCAGGATTTCTTAGTTGGGATCCATGTATATAATTCACAGGTCCATGGATGGAATAATAATTATATCTCTATTCTCCTAACCTCTACTGAAATTTAGAATTTGATTTTATTGTGAATGTAGGTAACAAACTGTGGTAGTACTGGCTGTATCTACAACTTTGTCACCAACATTAATCACAGATATTTTCATATCACATTATGCATATTGTAGGTATCTTGGAATATCTCTTATACTCATCACCATTTTGGAATTATTGACATTAGGAGACCTGCGGTTAGACCTTGTTATTTATGCATTAATGAAAAAGCCCACCTTATTAGATCACAAATTTGCTTTGCAATATTTTAATAACTGTATTTCCCTACAGTTGGTTTCCTTTGTAATCTATGTGTTTTATTTTATACCTTTATAAACATTCTGAGAAGGGTTTCAAGGGCTTCACCAGACTACCAAAAGAGTGCTGTTCAGAAGATCAAGACTCCCTGCTAGAACACTAAAGCTTTCCTGGAGCAAATATCTGTCTCAGCATCTTTAATACAAAAAAGGCTCAATAAATATTTATTGAACACTTTATTTCTCCAGGTTACTTAGGGTAACTAGAACCTAGGAAAATCTAGTCAGACATAAGTCAAATAATGTTATGCTGAAAAGCTAATTTGATAATTTATTGAGAAAGAAGTAGTTGACTAGGTGCTCTAGACTAGTCAATTGCATAAAACGTTCTCATCCTAAGGGCTTGCTACTCCTAGGAGTTTAAATTATAGGGCAAATTGTAATTCAAGGTGATTAGACAAATAAATAGTTAAGTGAAAAGTAAAAAATTATTTCTTGGGCCTCTGTAATAAAAAAGTCACTGTGTGATATATATCAATAAAACACATGACCTCTCTGCAATAAGGAATTTATTCACTGCTTGGGGAGACAAATGACTATGAAATAAAAACAGTGTAATAAGGGCAGGCACCAGTGTTTCAGGTCATAACAAACAGTGTAGTCTGGTCAGAAGGTTGAGTTATGAAAGAAAACAGTGGGAAATAAAGCTTGAACTACATCAACTGGGTTTGATTATGGAAAGTTTTGAATGCCAGGCCAAGGAGGCAGGACTTTATTTGACGAATATGTCAGACCTATAGGATATTTTTGCATCAAAGAACAGACATGGTGAAGATAATGTTTTAGGAAGCTGCTTCTGAGAGCTTTATACAGGAGGTGCTAGAGGACACATCAGTTACAATACTCAACATGCTGCTTCAGTTGTTACTTTCTCTCCCTATTTTGAATCTTGTACTTGTAAATTCTTGCTAGATACTTCCACCAGAACCTCAATACTGTGCTTCCAAAACCATACTAGTCTTCTTAACTTGTAAATCTGCAACTCCTGACTTTCCTACTCACGTAATGGCACATACGTTCTTAGAAATTGGACCATCTTTGATGTCTCCTTCTCTGTCACCCATATGTAAATCATTCCCTTCTTCTAGTTGATTCCATTATGAGCCTATTTACAATTCATGTATCTTCAAAATACACATATGTTAACCCAGTGATAGAAGACTGAATTTGGGATCACAAAGTAGAATTTTTAAAAAGGGAAATCTTACCTTTTGTTATTTGCAGTAAAAACAGAACCGTGCATGCCAACCTTGCACTCTGTGATCTTCCAGCCCTCAAGAGACTGAGTTCTCAGGCTGTACTAATGAAGTAATCTATGTCTTATCTCCTTCTGATTTCTACCCTTAACTCCTGAAGTGGCCAAATTATCAGTGCTCTGTTAAGGTAGATTTGGCTAAGTAGTTAAGGCTCTTTTCAGGTAGGGAGTAACTAAATAAAGAAAGTATATGCTATTCTATACACATATTTATGTACATAAAGAAGATGATTGGGGGGACAAACAGTTTTAAAAGTTTTGTTTATACTTTTTATGTGGTTGAATTGTTAAGTGCTGATTGCTACATTCACCATTTTTCCATTTTCCATCTTAGTCTCTTTTATTGTCTATTTGTGTGTTCTCAATCTCCCAACCTTTCTTTGACGGATTTCCAGGAAACATCTGTTTTAACTGACTTTTACTCTGGAAGCATCTAAATGTCATTGGTCTCTAAGATCCTTCTGAGACATATAGGATCTCAGCATTTTATAATATTGAAAGGAGCAGGTAATTTTTCAACTAAATCAAAATACGTAAAAGCTTGCTCATGAAATACCACCAACTTAGACAAACAGTTCTCTTGGGTATCTTAAATATGATTTGTATATGAGATAAAGAACAAACGAGATAGCCAGAAGGGGTTGGTTCCGTTTTTAAGGTCTGCTTGTTCTCTTTCACCATAAGCAAACAGAGTATCAGATCTTTATCAAGGCAGGGACTTGAGCTGCCTAGAGTTTCTGGTTTAGTCAACTTTTTAGGAATGGGAGAACTCATGTTAATTGTGCAGTTTAGGCCCTAGTGACTTGCTGAATAATCCAAGGATCTGCAGGGCAAACAAGTTATCCTGTGTGTGGTCAGTGCTTTATAGATTTTATTGAATTGGGAGATTCGGTTATAGCAGGGTTTCTCAACCTTGGCACTTTTGACTTTTTAGGCCAAATAATTTTTGTTGTGGAGGGCTTTCTTGTGCACTGTAGGATGTGAAAGAGCATCCCTGGCCTCCACTCATTAGGTGCCAGTAGTACTTCTCCAATGTGACAAGCAAAAAATGTGTTCACACAATGCCAATTTCACCCTGGGGGGAAGTCTGCCCCAGGTTGAGAATTACTGTATTATAGTTAATGGGTAGTTGATGGTGGTTAATTAGCCTAAGCCTTAAAAGATTATATATATTATATAATTAAATATTATATATTAAAGATTATATATTATACATGCTTTGACTTTTTCTATATTCTTTCTTGCCACTTTTGGCATATGTTATACTTTTTAAGTATGGTGACATTTACCTATACTAGTTTTATTTTATAAATTATTACTCACTTTCTTTTACTTGTCTATTGAGTTATAAGAAAATTTTCTCTCCTCTTTTTCTCATTATATTTAACAGATAGGTGGAAAAATGTCTACCAGTTCTTTAAAGGTCAGCTCTATGGAATTTCTATTTATTTCATCTGGAGTCTTAGAATAGGAAAGAATCAACATAAATATAGAAAGTCAGGCAAAGAAGCTAATTTATGGGAAAAATGAGTTCTATTTTGTGCAGGTAAAATTGGAAGTGATAGAATATCTAACTAATATGTCCAGCAACTACTTGAGAAGAGGTTGGGAAATAGGTTTGGGAGTCAACAGTATAGTTGAAAATTAAACTTGCCCAAGAGAAAAATGGAAAAAGCTCAGAGTACTGAAGGATTAAACCTTAACATGAAACCATGGAAATGAAATTCAAAAAGACAAAAGAACATTTATAGAGTGAAATAGTAAAAGCTAATAATTGGATGATAATTAGGTGAATGGGAAGCCTACCACGGGGGTATTAATAAAGCTCCAACTGCCGGAGAAAAAGGCAGGCAGGCAGGCAGGCAGGCAGTCAAGGAAGGAAAGAAACAGAAAGAAAAAAGTAAAATTCTTTGTACTTGCATATTCCAAAAAATCATTGCAGGGACTTGGTGGAAAATAAGTGGATGGGTCTGTGAGTTTGGGATGAGAGGGATAGACGTAGCTTGATAACTTCCTAGCTTTGAGACAAGCATGTGTTCTAATGTAACTTCTTTGGCTGTGATGTACTGAGGATCAGCTGAGGGATACCTCAGCTGTTTCCTATCCTGAATAAAAGTTTCTGGAATAAGAGGAAAAGGGTGTCCAACATGGTATAGAATGTCAATTTATCCCTACCCTTCCATTGCCCCTACTTTCTTTTAAACTTGCATATTAATCATTTGATACTGTTTTTGGGTGAGATAAATATTTGCTTCCCGCAATAGGTGAGAGATGAAAGGATTTTATTGTCATATATTAAGAGTAGCATCAGCAGATAAGTGGAACTGTTACCTCATTACTGCCAGAAAAGGCAGTTCAGGGTGAACACCTTTAAAACCAAAATTATCACTCTTTGTATAATTTCTCTAACATCAAATTGACTTATATCCAAGAATTACAGAGTGGGTGAAATCATTCAGTTCTTTGGGACTACAATTAACATACAATTCAACTTAGAAGGTTCATAAGGAAATTCCGCGGCTCAAAATTAGGCGTTAGGTGGGCATTTTACTGAGGGTTTTTTCCCTACGGCCACCTAAACAATAAGTAACACCACCTTTAAACATTTTTCACACTAAACATTATGCCATGTTCCAAGGCACAGACCATTGCAGCCTCCGTCCCCTCAGCGGCGTAAAGACTTGGAATGGGCATGCTGCCCGTTACTTAGTATTGAGAAGTGGTCACTTCTTGCTCTTAGGTGAGTGTAAGCGACTGCCTTCCCCACTTTCGGTGAACCTCAGGACTTGGAGCGTCTGTGGGTGCTCCTCTAACGGAGACAACTCCTCCCTTCCGACTCCATCGCAGAGAACCCAAAGTTCGAAAGCAACAGAATGAAAACCAACAAAACACACTTAAAGTGAGGAACCCGGCAAGCGGCGAAATTCTTGCTGAAGGAAAGAAAAAGCGAAAGGTTTTCCGCTACAACCAATCAGATGAGAGATTCTTGGCTCGCCCCTTTCTATCTACCAATCAACATCTAGGTCGATGGGGCAGTCCATTGATACAGGGAAAGGGTCTTTAAATTTTATTAGTACAGCTTCCCTCACAACCCTCAACCCCGTCATTCTAGGCCATCCCACGAACTGTGCTCAAAAGAGGAAAAGAGTGCAACACTTCCAAAGCTGATCAGTCTCGTGGTGAGCAGCGAAACTACAGACTTCCGCAACAAAACCATGGATTCTAGGAGGGACAGGGAAAGAAGAAAACGGGTTCTGGAAGGCAAACTACAACTCCCAAGGGCGCTTGCGCGGACTCAGCGCGCACGGGACAAGAGGCGGACCACTGTAAGGGGGAATGCGAACGATCACGGGGCTCTTTTGAACGCTAGCCCGCAAGGGGGCGGGACCTGGGGCGGGCGGAGCAGCGACAGCGTCTGCTCCTGCGTTTTGTGGTCTCCTGCCTCCGGCTTCTCCGCCTGCGGCGTCGGAGGGGGCGTGGCCTACGCAGAGGCTGGTGGGGGTGTGGGCGCCGCGGGACGTGGGTGACGCGTCGCTTTCCAGCTCAGCGGTGTGTGAGGTGTCGCGGCCCCGCCGGCGATTGGCTGTTGAGAGGCGAGTACGCGGCGGCCGTTGGTCGCTGGTCTCACGGAGCAAGGCCCCGGGCGGGCGGGGAGGATATGGGGTGGCAGTGGCGGCGGCGGCGGCTTCTGGAGGCGGGCGTGGACGAGCCGGCGGCCGCAGCAGCGGCGGTCCCCGGAGTCCTGTGAAGCGCCCCTGTCCGCGCGGCTGTGGGGCCCTCGGAGAGGGCTGCCAGGACGCGAGCCACTGAGGAGCCGCTCAGCCAGCGCCACAGCCTTTAGGATTATCGGTCCCATCCTCGCGCTCCTGCTCCGGCTCCTCCATCTTGGCGTCGGCAGTGGCGGCTGCCGGGAGGATGTGCCGCCTTCTGACAGGGGGAAGAAGGAGGAGAAGATGAAGAAGCACCGGCGGGCCTTGGCCCTGGTCTCCTGCCTCTTTCTGTGCTCTCTGGTCTGGTGAGTAGCCGCGACGACAAGGGAGTCCCGTGAGGGGAGTATAGGGGAGGGAGCAGCCCAGGTCACACCCCCAAGTCATCTTGGCTTTTAGGGTCCGGGTTTCCAAGGCCCCCTTGGAAGGGACAAACCGATTACTTCTCGACTCTCCATCTGACTGGTCTGGCAGTGCTCTGTGTGGAGATTTTCGTGGTGTATTTTGGAATTTACAGAGACTCGGAGAGAGAGAGAGAGAGGTGCCGAGATAGAAGGAACCACCAAGTGCCTTTGTACTCAGTTCTTCTACCCCTTGGAGACGGTGCAGGGTTTGGGGTTGGGTATTCAGATCGATGGTAAGTAAGTTGCTCCGATTTGCCGCCAGTCTTTGCGTTCTTAGTGTGGTAAGGGGATAAAGCACTTCGGATGTGATACGTTCCGGACGTGCGATTTTAAAACTGAGTGGTCATGAAGGTAAGAGTAATGTATAAGCAGTAGTTCTCCTGGACATTTCTCCTACAGTGTTTGATCCCAAGTATACTTGGGCCACTGTTTTTGGAAACTTGGGGGAGCGTGTGTGTGTGTGTGTGTGTGTGTGTTATGAAGCACTTTTTCAGTTGGTTTGGTGGAGAGGGTGTCTTAGATGTAGTGTGTGTAGTAGTTTTTGGTAATGTCCCTTAGTAGTGGGAAGGTAAATACTATATTTTGAAGGCGGGAAGAATGCTTTGTCCCTAAAGCACCCCCCAAGTTTTACGGAGTTTCCGTTTAATCCCAGGCACTTCTGGAGTTTTTTGAGGAGCAGAGAAAGCTTGTAAGTCGAAAGACTGCTCTCACCGTACTTGGAAAAGCCATTCTTTCCTCCCAGGGAATTTCTTCAAAGATATGTGACAATTGATGATTGAAAACATCTTTCTTTAGTCAAGGCTATTTGCTGTTTGTTATATTAAAATAGAAATTAAGTTTCCTGTTTTGCTTATTTCTGCAGAGCACCAACACTATTTTCATTTTTATGGACGCCTAATGGATTCCAGAGGCACTGAAATTGTAGAGTTGTTGCTCACATAAAATAATACATGAACAAGGGGAAGAGAAAACTCTCGCCTGGCTGAGGGATTTTGATTGGAAGGATGGTAGAAGTTTTTGAGAACAAAAAAACTTGACTTCTTACCTTTCATTCTGAATCCTTTTAATACCCACCTCCCGTTTTTAATAAAATCCTCCCCTTTCTACTTACTGTGTTGGGTACGGAGAAGTGCCTGTAAGAGATAAATCCACTTACCTCATTTTAAATTTAAATTTGTAGATACTGAAGCTTGTATTCATTTTCATCTCTTTCTGGGGCTGCCTAGTTATACTCGTAGACTGTATTTTCTTTCCTCTTTTTTCTTGGTCTTGCCCATCTTTAAACCATGTTTTTATTCATCAAAACTTTCTGAAATGGCGAATAAGGAAAAGGTTAACACTTTCATTCAAGTTTAAAAACTAACACCAGTATCTCTGGCTTTTTTTTTTTTTTTTAAGTTAGATGGTGTAAACGAAATCAAGCAATAGAATGTGATTCTTACAATCATTTGTAAATTTAAGTTAACTCTGCTTCTATTTCTTTTGGGAATTTCTGGCTATCTTTTGATTAAGCTAACCCTCAATATGTTTTCTCACCTTCAATCATTAGCTCTAGTGAAGAGCTAATGAATTTCCCTGTTAGGGAAAAAATAGGTTGGCCCGGTATTGAAAGTAGTAATAAACTTCTGTAAAGTTTTTTAACTCCTAGTGAGGAAAATGGATGTGGAGAGTTTAAGAAAAGAGTGTGAACATTTTAAGAAACTTTAGCTTAGGAAACTATTGGGTTAGTTTATTTTGAGATTTGTTTAGACCACCAAATTTAGAGACATTTTAATTATTCTTTAGCAAAACGATTAAAAGGCACTAAAATAGGACATTAAGGCTTAAAGGTTTTTTTTTTGAAGGGTGATGATGAATGAAATTGGGGAAGAGGAGTGGTACGTGGTGATGATTGGCAAAGGGTGCGTTTTTTCTTTGAAGACTGCTTTCTTGCCAAGTTGAATTTAATGGCACTTAATGGATTTCTAACTTTTGCTGCAATCTGGTGTGGTATTTCTTTTCCCAACAACCCCATTCCCTTTAACAGAAAGGGCTACCAGCAAGTCCTAGGGTTAGATAAAACGTTTGCAAGAGTTGATGAGTGCCTTTTAGTAGCCACTTTTGTCTCTTTTGTTATTCACAAATTGTCTCAAAATTTTGTGATCCATTTGTTTTGAAGATTTTGAGTGCTGTATGTCTATTCTACAGTATTCTAGTTTCTAAGGTTTCCCCTCTCATGCTACCAATATTACTGGTAAGTTTACTATCATAATTTCATAGATCTTGATTATGTCTCCCCTCTGCTTTTATCTTCCAGCCTAGAGTACTAACCTTAGATTATGTTCACAGAAAAACTATTTCATCTATTCTATGTCATTACTCATTTTTTTTTTTGCTGTTTTTTCCTGTTGCATACTTTATGATTTTTGATCAAGTAGAATAGAGTATTCTAGGCATAAATGCGCTATAGCTGCAGCACAGAGCAATGATAGCTAATATTTACTGACAGCTGTCTATGTGTCAGGCACATGATGTTTACTTGACAATAGCACCTTTAATCTTTATAAGAACCCTGTAAGATAGGTATTATTATTAACTTCCTTTTGCATTTTACATGTGAGGAAGTATAGAGGTTAAGTAACTTGGCTAAGGTTAAGCAGCTGTTAAGCTTTGGAGCTTAAATTTGAACTTAGGCAGCACAGGCTCCTGAGTACCATAGTCCTTTGTAGGTCAGAAGGCCTGTATTTTATATCTGTGGCTCCATCATTTACTAAATGTGTGTTCTTTGACATGTTATGTAACTTCTTTGAACCTTAGTTGTTATATCCTCAGAATGGGGAAATTGATCCACTCATACTTCACAGGGTTGTTAGGACGATGAAATAATACAAATGAGAGATCTTTGTAACAGTAACAGCGTATTATGTAAATATTTCATCATAACATTATTCAGCCACATTTTTTTTCTCATACTTACTGTGCCAGATGTTTTTATGAGCACCGAAAATCTGAGATAGAGGGTCACCAGCTTGTCTTGGTTTTAACACTGGAAGTCGCATAACCTAGGAATTCCCTGCATTAGTTTCCTATGCCTGCTGTAACAAATTGACACCAATTTAGTGGCTTAAAACAACTAACATTTATTACCTTACAATTCTGTGGGTGAGAAGTCCAAGATATGTCTCACAGGGCTAAATAAAATTAAGATGTCAACTGGGCTGGTTCATTTTGGAAGCTCTGAGGGGAGAATATTTCTCTAGAGGCCGCCTGTATTCTGTGGCCCCTTCCTCACATCAGCACTCCAACCTTTTTTTTCATTCCTTATGTCTACTTATGACTGGTCCTCCTGCCTCTCCCTCTTATAAGGACTATTGTGATTACACTGGGTCCACGCAGACATTCCAGGATAATCTCCCTATCTCATAATCCTTAATTTAATCACATCTGCGAAGTCTCTTTTACTATGTAAGGTAACATATTTAGGGATTAGGATGCAGACATCTTTGAGGGGGGTGCATTATTCAGCCTATACCCTATACCATACTTCCTCAGTCATGGGCAAACTGGGAAAGCTGCATTACCTTCAAGAGGGAAAAAAAACACAATTAGTGGATATTCTGAGTGTATCCCCTAATTAGTAAAACCTGTGCATGCCCCTTAATTGTTTACACGTTATATACATGTGCCAATATAATAATAGTGTATTAGTGTATGTAATAATACAAGTTAGATATTTAAGGAAAATTAGAAAAAAATAATAATTTCTGTTAACGGTGCCTTTTGTTCTCATTAAAATAATAATTTTTAATAAGAGCTACGTGATTGACCTACTAGATTATATGACATCGTAGTATAGAAGAGGAATAGCTTCAACTACTTAGGAGCCAGCCTTGTCATTTTCTTGTTGGCTGTGCTTGCATTATTAAATTCTTTGCAGGACTTTTTTAAAAAGCTGCTTCCCGATGTTGTGAGGGTCAGTTCAGTTAAAACTGAATAATTCTTAAGTCTACCTAACTGGACAAACATAAACCACAGTGAATCATGGTGTGCTGTAAGTAAAACCCATTGTTTGTGAGACTTCCACTCTTTCCCTGGGTTTCTACCAATAGTCCTTGCTGTTCTTGATGTGTGACCATCTGACCCTTCAGACCAAGTATGAATTCTTACATTAATCTTAGTAAAACTTATTTTTTTAAAACTAAACAAATCTGTTCTTCCTTCACCCCAAAGGATCATCTTGGAGAAGCTTATATTAGACTTTCGGGAAGCGCTTGACATTTAAACAAGTCTTATACATTTGACAAATGTAGCAGGTACTTACAAAGGTCTTTAGGAATAGCAAAGGAAGAATTCATATCCTACTTATGGTTCTGTCACTAACTGTATGTCTTTGGACAAGTTACTTCTGTGAACCTCAACTCTCATCCATAAAATGGTCTGCAGGATGGATAGTTCACGATGAGAGAATTTTGTTGTAGGCAGAGAGAACACTCTTACCCAGTTATCTAGAGCGTGAGTGTATGTGAGCAGGGATGGGAAGAGAAGCTAGAGCTGGGTTTTGAAGGGATTTGATTATCATGCAGATGAATTCTGATTCTAACCACCTGACAGAGGCTGAGCAAGTGAAGTCATTTAAACTGGAGAACAGGAGCATGAGGTCACGTGGATCTTTTAATTAGATCGTTGTGGAGGATAAAGTGGAATGTAGGGGACATACTTTGGAGGCAGGAGGTCCTAAGTCGTGGTCCCACTAGAAGAGAGTTGATATCTAAATCAAGATGTTGGCATTTTTGACCTTAGTAGTAATTTTTCTGAGTATGTCAGACCAGTTTTTATCAATTTAAGAGGTTTATTTCCTGGTTTGTGATTATATTTCTGTACCCTTTTGCTTTTTCTCTCATAATTGCTGGTCTATTAATATGCATAAGTAAGCAGAAAAAAATTTAAAAACTAGAACAATATATAAGCTGTTTTTTTCTTTTTTGAGGTGATGAATAGAGCATATTGGAAACATATAGATAAAACATATTGAAAATTCCCCAGAAAATCTGGAGGAATTTTTTGCTTGTTTCTGCTTCTGTCTCTTAACTTTAAAGGTTCTGAATCTATTTCTTCTCTGAATAATATTTGAAATAAGTAGAATAATAACGTAGTCCCACTTCTCCAAATCATTCGATGCCCTTTTTTTTTTCTTTCCTTGAATAAACCAATGAAAGATGACCTTTACAAAAATGATTTTTTTAATGGAACTTAATGTGAAAGACTGAGGAAAAAAAGTTTATCTTTGCTCTGGGATATATATTCCAAAGAAAGCACCTGGTATTTATATTTATAAGAGGTGTCGGGTCATACAGTGTCAGATTCCCTTCAGACAAGTTAGATGAAGCCAGCTTGCCTTAATAGGAAAAGGTCTGTGAAAGAAGGTGTGTGACATCTTTGCATAACACCTGAACACTGTGTCCAGTAAAAGATGGCAAATAACATGTTTCATGTTGGTACTTTATGTTATTAAACATTTGAGGATATACTGGAGTGGAAGCAGGTAGTAGGGTTGACAGGCAATGGAAAAAATAAAAGGTATCAGCTCTTTTGAGCATCGGTTATTTCATTTTTCATTTGTTCATGAACTTGTACATTATTGTTACTTTTCTCAACAGTCTGAATGGACAAATGAATCAATATGTATAATTAATATTGTTATGCTTATAACGAAAGGGAAACTTATAAAAATTTAAGTGCTTTATTATTCTCAAGTCATCTTCAAATAGAAACACGTGATGCTTTTGTTTAGTAGTTTATGCATAACTGGAAAGAGACAAAGTCTCTTTACTTGAAACTTATCTACGTGTTTTAGGTTATACTTTAGCACCAGTTTTATGTTACCTGTCTTTGTTTTTCAAGGCCATATTTTAGACTAATTTCACAAATCAAATTGTACATGTCACAAGGGAATAGGAAATTGCTTTGAATATTTGCAGTATAAGAGTGTTAATCCTTTGGGATAAATTTGTTTAATGCAAGTTTTTTTTGAAAGAAGATTTGGTTTTATTTAGGACTTTATAATTGCTAGTTAAAATTATTTTATATTTTACATGAAAGTGACACCTAGCTTTATTAGAAAGTATTCTGTAACATTAATACGGTTTGTAGGTACTAAGCTAATTTTGTATTATGTAGCGTTTGTAATCTACTGGGGAAAAAACATGTAAAGGCTAAGAATAATGCCTCACATATAGTGAGCACTACTATATAAGTTATTCATTGACTCTAGATACTTTGGTAATTTGTTGAGTAGAAATAAGATGGCCCAGGCTTCAGAGTTAAAAATGGGAATTTATAAATCCACTTAAAATATTATTTGATTATCCACAGTGTATTTGGTGTGGTGAAGGATACAGAAGAATTGTGAGACTTGAGCTCTGTATATAAGCTGCTTGTTACAATACAGATAGTGGTGTAGTGCTTAAGACGTAAAACTACGTCAGAGCTTGGTTGTAGTCCTTCCTTTGCATTATTAATATGAACATTTATTGAGTGATTATTTCTCTTCTAAGTACTAAATACTATTCAAGGTAATATACATTAAATTATTTTATTCTCTGTATCAATGTTTTAAGGCAGACACTCCATTTTAAAGATGAAGAAAGGTGGGCACAAAGAAGTTAACCAGCTTGCCCAAGTTCTCACAGCCGGGAAGCAACAGAGCCAGAACCTAAGAAGGCCAGGTTCTAAGCCTGTGTTCTCTTCACCAGTATGCTGTGCTGCCAGTTGGCTGGTAGATGGTCTCGCGCAAGTTTCTTCACTTTTTCTAGTTAATAATTTTATCTGGCAAAGTGTCAACTTTTTTCATCTGAAATGTGGGTGCCTGTATTGGCCTAGGAAGGAGTGGGCATTGGAATTGTTCATGAAACTTTTAAAAGAAATACACATACATAGGATTCTTACCTTGTAGATTTTGTTAGTAAGTTTGGGATGCTCTTATGCATTCAAGTCTGTATTACTGTATTAGATTAACTCAGTTTATTTTTTGTATATCTAACATTCTAAGATACCTGGTTTGAATGTTAGTAAACAACACAGAAAACTGAATTGCATAGTAAATGCTTTGGAGAAAATGAGGGCTAGAGTTCTCAAGGAAGGCTTGACTTGGGTTCAAGGGAAATATGTGGTTTATAAACTCTGCTTCTCTGCAAACAGGAGCTTCATGAGCTGAAACAAGATGTACTGGTGTTGATAATATGAATAAATGGCTATTTCTTTATGTGTGCATGTGTATGTCTGTATGCCTGCTTGCAGTGGGTAGATGGCACTTAATTGTCAAGGAGAGAGAGAGTTATGAATAAAAGAGATAATCTAGTTGATTTGGGTAGGAGTGGTAGTAAACAGACAAGCTTGAGGAGAAAGAGATAGATTTCAGAGGTTTTGGTAGATTTTGCAAGCCAATCCAAAGAATTAGATAATAAAGATTCAGCAAGAAAAGTGGTGTTGTGAGAACATTATTTTGACATAATTGTGCTAGATTTTTTTTTAGAGGAAGGAGACTTAGAGGGATGAATACAACTGACTTTCCACATCCACAGATGCAACCAACCTCAGGTTGAAAATATATTTTAAAAAATAAAAAATAACAATACAACAATAAAAACACAAATAAAAACAATTGTGTAACAGCTATTTACATAGCATTTACATAGCATTAGGTTTTAAATCACCTCTAGATATTTATATGGGAGGATATGCATAGATGTTTTAAATCACCTCTAGATATTTTAAATCACCTCTAGATATTTATATGGGAGGGTATGCATAGATGTTTTAAATCATCTCTAGATATTTTAAATCACCTCTAGATATTTATATGGGAGGATATACATAGGTGATATGCAAATGCCATTTTATATAAGAGACTTGAGCATTCTCAGATAATAATATCTTCAAATCCCGGATCCTAAAAAGCCTTTGGAGTAATTGAGGCTTGTCATAAGAACAACTTAATCTTGGCAGTAGAAACAAAGAAGAGGGTACAATAAATAGAGATTTCTGAGGACGTAACTGATTTGGTTTTGTGAAAGGTTGGCAAGCTGGCAGTGCAGTGCAGCACAGCAGGTAACAGCATTAGGCTAGGATTCTAAATAACTGGATTTTAGTTTGCCTCTAACCAAACTCTGTTCAACATCCCCTTTCTGTTACCCATCTCAATGCAAAGAGATATTTACTTAGGCTTCTGTGTGCTATATCCTATGCAGGATTCTGGTGGACAAAACAAAGTAGCTGCTTTCTTGGAGCACACTGTCTCTGAGAGATACATTCTAGGGCCTGAAATTATGAATCTGAAATAAAGTTCAATGATAAAAGAAATGTTAAGCGTTTTTTGTTTTTTTTTTTTGTTTGTTTGCTTGTTTGTTTTAACTTGGGCAACTAGAAGAATTGGTGGTGGTCAAAAAGAAGTGGAAGAGTTGGCAAAGGGCTTGGAAGGGGAAGGAGCTGTTAGTTGGAGGTGAATGGAATATCCAAGTAGAGACATTTTATGGGCACTTAAAAACGCAGACTTGAATGCAGCTAAAATTTGGCCTGGAGTCCCAGGCGCAGTGGCTTGTGCCTGTAATCCCAGCACTTTGGGAGGCCCAGCACTTTGGGAGACCAAGGCAGGTGATCACCTGAGGTCAGGAGTTCGAGACCAGCCTGACCAACATGGAGAAACCCTGTCTCTACTAAAAAAGTAGAAAATTAGCCGGGCGTGGTGGCACATGCCTGTAATCCCAGCTACTTGGGAGACTGAGGCAGGAGAATCACTTGAACCTGGGAGGCGGAGGTTGTGGTGAGTCAGGATTGTGCCATTGCACTCCAGCCTGGTCAACAAGAGTAAAACTCCATCTCAAGAAAAAAAAAAAAAAGAAAGAAAATTTGGCTTGGCGTTGTCCTCATAAAGCAGAGGTCCCTAACCCCTGGGCTGGGGACCGGTGCTAGTCCGTAGTCTGTTAGGACCCTGACCGCACGACAGGAGGTGAACAGCAGGTGAGTGAGCATTACTGCCTGAGCTCCACCTCCTGTCAGATTAGCAGCAGAACTAGATTCTCATAGGAGCACGAACCCTACCATGAACCGCACATGCTAGGTTCTGTGCTCCTTATGAGAATGTAATGCGCACCCCCCCAGCCCCATTCATGGCAAAGTTGTCTTCCATGAAACTGGTCTCTGGTGCCAAAAGGTTGGTGACCGCTGTCATAGAGGGAATCATTTTTGAAAGAGATCATTGGACTTTTGAAACAGAATAAAGAAAGGTGCTAAGCATAGTAAAGCTCTGAAAGGAAGGAGGAAACTGGAAAGAGAGATGGAAAAAGATTTAAGTAAGTCATTTGAGTGGTCAACAATATAAAATGTTTTAGATAAGGTTGAAGAGCTTGAAAACTGAGAAACGGGCCTTGTTTTCAAAAGAGGGAAGTGATTGATAGCTTTTGGGAGTGGAGATTAGAAGATACTTGGAGAGCTCGTAGGCATGAATTCCACACATTTGTTTGGCAGCGAGGGGAGGTAGAAGAGTACTTAAAAAAAAAAAAAGTTAAAAAAAAAAAGTTAACATGTAGAGTAGCTTTGTACTTGTTTGCTACAACCTATTTTTCACAGTGCTGCTGGATTTATCTTACATGCAACTTTGATTATGTCAGTCCTCTAATGAAATATCTTTCAAAGGCTCCTTGATAAAACTTTAAACCTTGATAATTTTTAAATGCCTGCAGTCTGACCCACACCAACTGTTGTAGCTTTATTTTCTACTTTTCCTAATGGAGACTTTGTTTTAGCATGGCTGATCTGTTGGCCTGGTAGTAATTGATTTGAGGACTCTGTAGTTTCTAATTGAAAATTAAGGTAACAAAAGTACTGTCACTTGTGTTTTAGAGGCTAAATACACCGTACCCAATTTCTGAAAATATATTATTATCAAGTATAGGGTATGATTATTTCCAGCATCTTAGAGGACAAATTGTATTGACTGAAATTCTAATGGTAGGTTAAGATATAAAAACAGAACATATCACGTTGTTTACTAAGTGCTTCTCTATGTTGGATCAATGAAATTATAGGCCAGTTTAGTGAAACAAGTTTCTAATAGAATTCGATATGTGGAATATTAAGCTAAGGGAATTTAAGACCCAATCCTACATCAGAGTGAAGATTAAAAGTCAGAACTACTGAAATGCAAAGGTTTAATTAGAAACAGGCACTAGAACATAGAACTTTCTTCAGCTAAGCTGTACAGTTGCATGTGGTTTGACTAAAGACTGTTGAAGTAGCCAAATAGAATAAAAACTGCAAGGAGAAAGAGGTCCAGTGTGCTCTTACCTATTAGCAGATAGACCAAGCAGAAGACAAGCAACCTTAAAAGAACTCCAGACTGATAATGTGGTTTAGAAGAATATCTGTCTTTTAATAAAACATTGTGATGGAGAGAAACTAGGTTGCTTAAGCAAAGGCACTAGAGGCCTGGTGATCTTTTGGTCTTGTTTTATTACCAGTGTTTGACCAAAGTGGCTTCCGTATTATTCACCCATTTCCCACAAGTTTCTCAATACTTGAGGATTTTTGTAATTTTTTTCAGATATCCAGGAAGTAATACTCAAAAACTACAATGTTCACTGTTAACTTTAACCATACTGCCCTAATTGAGTGGCTGGCACTATATTTCTGTACAAGGGATTAGTTTTGAATTTATGTTTAAGAAGCAATTCTTTATTGCCTAGTTTAGTTATTTCTTTTACCACAAAGTCTTTTCTCATTCTTTTTAAAGCTCTGAAAAAGCTTTTCCAATTCATAGTCAAAGTAGGAGCTCAGCAGATCATCATGCTGGCAAGAGGGCAGTGTATTCTCTGCCTTGGAGTTGCTTAGTCTTATGTGAGAAACAAAAATAAACAGTTAATTTCATTTCAGTGTGTATGTGCTCAGGTAGAGATAGCCTACAGGCTGTGAGAATTTAGAGAGGGGCCGCCCACTAACCCCAGATTGTGGAAATCAGGAAAATGTTTTAGACCCTTACTAGTTTCTTGCCCCAAGAGAGAATTATAGGTATTTTGTTAGGTTTTAGATAGTGGGAGTGGGAGTAAGTACAGAACATTCTTGAAAGAGGAAACAGCATGAGCCAGAGACATGAGACAGCGCAATCTGTGTTCAAGGAACTATTACAGGTAGCTCTGTATCACTGAAGCATAAAGTGAAAGGCAGGGAGAGTGGCAGGAAGTATGAAGCTGAAGACGTTAGTAGAATTGTTAGAGATTTTTAAATAGCATGTGGAGAGAAGCTTGAGTTTTGTCACGTAGTTAATGGAGTCTATAAAAGGTCTTAAGCAGGGGAATGGTAGTGTGATAATTTACTGTTAGATTTTTGGCAGTGTTAATGGTTGATTCGCAGACGTAGCAAGTTAGGAATTAGGGAGATCTGTTAGGAGTTCGCTCTAGGTAAGAGATAAGGGCTTGAGTTAAGGCAGTCAGAATGGGGATTGAGAAATGATTTAAAGAAATTTAGAGTAGAATAAACGAGATGGTCAAGGGAGGGTGAAGGCAAAGGAATAGTCACAGATGTTTTTCAGGTTTCTAGTTTGAGGACTGGGTAGACAGCAGTACCAGATGGTGGAATCAAGGATATGAGAGGAAGAGATTTGGAAAAGGAAGCTAATGTATTCAATTTTGGATTTAGATGTTTTTGAGATATCTTGGAATAAATATGAAGGAAGAGAGATGCAACTTTTAAATGAGCTTTATGTATCGTCAACATTAATGTAGGGTATCACAGAAGGGTTTTAAGGAATGGGCCAGTTAGGAAAAGATAAGGGCTGAAGATAAAAGTTTCAGTAGCCGTCAACTAAAAACCATGAGAGTAGGTAAGTCTCCTATGTAGAATATAAAGGGAAGATTCAGAACCAGACCCTTGGAGCATCAGAATTTAAATAGTGAACAGAAGCAGCATATCAAAGGAGACTCAGAAGCAGGAGTCAGCATGAGATGAGAAGCAGAAGTGTGTAATTTGACAAGTCAAAAAGGAGGTGGTTTAAGTTAAAACAGCAGTCAGAGGTACCACATGCAGCCGGGGAATCAAAAAAATCTAACTTCTGCCACACCATACTAGTCTGAGTGGCACAGTGAGGGCAGAAACTAGATTTCAGCAGGCTGAAGACTAAGTAGAAGGTGAAGAAGTTGAGATTACAAGTATAAACTACTGTGAAATTTGGTAAGTGAAAGTAGATAGAAAAGGTAGTGGCTGATAATAACT